TCACAGGATTTCATATATCAGTTCTTTCAGAATTTTTGGACAAAGACCATCTGATCGCATCAGCATGTATACAATAAGCTTGCAAATTCATGTTTCTGTCTCTTTATGATCACTTCTGTTTCCATACATTCATTTCTGTTACCCCGCTTGTTTTTGCTCTGTGACTGTTATCGTTACTGAAAACAGAAGCAAAGTATTTATTTAGTTTGGGGACCTTACCCAAATCATCCTTAATCTCAAGCACACCTTCACTGTACACAGGTCTTGCCTGCTTACACACACACACAAAAAATCTTAAGAACTTTTCACCATTTTGCAGCCTTTGTAAAGTCTAATTCAGCTTGACATTTTTACAGTTCTGTTTCTATTCCTACATAGCATTCTCTGTGAATTTGCTTCCCCATTCCCCAGTGCTTGCAGTCTCTGCCATCTCTAACTGCAAAGGTGCTTGTTCACTCAGATAAGCCTGGGCATTATATTTCCATTTTTTTCCTGTGTTAAAGGCAGAGATTCCTCTTAATTCTGTTATTTTTAATAACCTCCAGGCCCTTTTTCCATTCAATCTTTGGGCTCTGCAGTTCACCTTGTTTATTAAAATAGTCCTATTTGTTTGCTCTCTTTGAAACCCAGAAGTCTACCCACAGAACCAAAGAACTGTTTATTCTTCTATTTCATCTGAATCTAGTTACAAATACGTAACATTATTTTTGACGCCCACATCTCTAATAATGCCCTCATCACTAAATAAATCTGGTATCCAGACCTTCTGCTTCAGTGACTAGTTGATGAAAAAAACTTTCACGCAGAACATACAGGAATGTTTTGGTCCTGCTCTTGGTAGCAGAACTTTATTTTCCCAGCTACAAACTGGAGAATAAGTCTCTGCAATGACACAATTCTTAGTAGTAGTGCTCTCTAATGAATTACACATCTAAATCCAAACCCAAGGATTTAAATTCCTAGATTACCTCAGTAGAATTCAGTTACTAGCCTTCTCTTCCCTTAGAATTATTTTATTCCAAAGGAATTATTTTCAGTCTGAGTTGTCCTTTCTTCTTTCCTTCCCTCTTATCATTTAATGACTATTTGGTGCTCTTCCACCATTCAGCTTTCATTTTTATCATTCCCAAATAGGCATATACCTGAATTCCAAACATATTTGTAGTCCTACTATATATCTGCTCTCTCTAAACTTAGTTTCACATCTGCAACCAGTACTTCACACTCCTCTGTCATGGTGTCTGTTGCCTAGCATTTATGCACAAATAATTCAGTTTTTCCTACTGACCACAGGAACTCCCCTGTTTTCAGGCTCCCAGCTCCTACTGACTGCTTGGCTTTGGAGACCTTTGGTCTGCATCAGTCTCATAGTAGGCAGAGATGGGCTTGAACCCTAGCTCCTTGGCAGAGCGGTCTCTCTCATGGTCAGCTACATCACTCACACACACACTCTTCACAAACTACAACCAAACACAAAAATTCACCAATCTGCTGCAAACACTTATCAAAACCAAATCCCACAGTGTTCCTTCTCTATTATTCCTGTCACCAACTTGGCATGCAAAGCCTCGTGCCTCAATCCCCAATTCCTTGATGGCACTGGGTGTGCCAGCCAGTCTACCCCATCCTTCACCCACAAACAAGACACAAATTTCCTGTGAGCCAACAAACAAGTATTGCTCTTTTCTCAGGGGCAGGACTCATTAGACACCTCCATTTGCTAACCATATTAGTAAGTGCTAGCATTCAGTAAAAAACTTGTCCTGAATCACACTCACCCCAAATTAGACGTACCTGTAATTTGGTCTGCAGTCACTGAGCAACAAGGCATCAGGCCATAAATTTTTTTTCCTCCCTGTCAACCAGTAAAACACGCAATACTGTTCACGGCTTTGAACAGTTCTTTGCAATACACCCTGGAGAATATCTGGTCATACTTATAACCAATACAATGTACAAGGTAACTATTTTGACCCACTGCTACACAGACCTAAACCACTACAAAATCTAAGAGAAAGGCCACACTGTTAAAAAGTTTTGTAGTCTCAGGGAAAACAAGGACCAAATATGCTTCATCTACTAGAAAAGTCATGCATATGGAAGGCCAGGGATATCAACTGCAGCATTTAACCCTTCTAACTTAGATTTTTGGGAAACCAGTCCAAGTACCAATAGGTTAGATGCCTACACCTCTGGCATAAAGTTAAAACATTTTCATTATAAACAAAAGAGTTGTTATCACATATATCTTCAGTTACCACCAGTATCTGAATTATATTACCTAAAAATTGTAAAAGTACATAATTTTCAAAAAAATAATCTGAATACCTTGGCATACTATGCTTCATGCATAGTTTATGTAAAATTCTGTTTATCATAGCGGCATCGCATCCCAACCCCCTCTCTCTCAAATTCACAGATGGGGTTTTTAGGGGTCCTACAACTCCAAATATGGCAATGCTGCTATTTGCTCCCCCTTTTTTATTTTAATTACCCTTTTTCCACATAAACAAGTTTTTTTACATGCATGGAAATATCCATTCCACATTTTCAACTGTCTTATCACAAACAGTACTTAGTTGCCCCATAAAAGAACATTCACAAACATTATTTTCTTTTAGTCCAAAAAACATATCAAGCAAGCCGACAAAGAAGTGTGAATACTTTTTTTTTTTTTTTGACACATCAGGACAACTCACCCACATTTGGATAGCTCCCCAATAAAAAGAATGACAAACAACACCTCAAATTCTGCAAAGTACCTAAAAAGGTAGTTAAACTTCATAGCTTGTGGCTAAACATCACAGCCACAATATCCACGACATTTCACATCCAACAACAATTTCCTTTTTGTTTCTGTAGGAGGTTATACAGCAACTACACTGATAGCAGCACACCTACTTCAAAACCAGCACGACTGTAGGATGACTGTGAACTTTCCTAATTTACTAGCCATGGAGCTCAGTCCTAGGGCTTGTCTTTGCTAGAAAATAAAGGTTAAGCCTATAACAGTGACACAGAAATGAGACTGCTAAACCTTTACAGGTTCTAGAGGCAGTCTCACCTCAACAAGACAGCATGGAAGTCTACATGGTCTGACTTACTCGGAAAAGCTTGAAGTAGTAAGCCATTAATGCACTCCGCCCCTCTCTGCTGCCTCTGCCCCAGGTAGCTGCCCTGCAGCCCACAGCAGGGTCTCCCCACGCTGCCGTGCCCATCACCTGGTGAGAAGGCTGGTTAGTAAGAGAAATCAAAAGCCACACTTGTGGTAAGATCAGGTGACTGGGACTTTTAGGTGTAAACTCCAGGCTCTCCCACTGCCTTTAACTAAAATTACTAATGTCTGTAAGACTACATATTGCTTTATATTCAGAAGACTTTTTCATCAGCTTAAGGAAACACCTATATTCAAATACTTATCATCATGATATATAAATACATATCATCATCAAATAGTATTATTTTCTGAAGACACAGACACTTCCATATGAATGTTACTTTTGCATATTTTTGTATGGTCTCTCTCATATTCTTATTTTCCATTAATTTCTCCATTTATTAAGAAAAATGCTTTTGGACAGCTGCTAAAAAAGAAAAAAAACCTTTGCCTAAAGTTTCACAGCCAGACCTTTAGCAGGAAGTTGAATCCTACAATACCACAAATCACAGAATGTAAGGTTCTACCCTAGCCTCAGAAACTTGGAAAAGGTATCAAGCCTGCAGTCCCTTTGAGGGTCTAGAAGATACACCACTTTACTCCTGCTATGTATTGAATAACCTTCCCCAAAGAAACAAAGGACCAAATTTTACAGTGCTTGAAGGTTCTTTGCAATACAGTTTAAGGTGTGTGTGTATTTAAATCCAGGCCTTTCATTCCTCACTTTGCTATCCCAGGCTTTAGCAGTTTCCGAGGCTAGTTCAAAATGTGGCTGACAGCAGCACCAGTAATATAGCACCCTTGGAGTGTTTGAAGTGTAAAGTTCATTAGTTCTACCTTAAGGTCACTCTTTTAATCCAACAGCCAAAATCTTATTCGCACTACCATGCTGTTATCCCGGAAAAAAGAAAACTGCAAAAAAATCAAGATGTCAGCTTAGATACTTCTTCCAAGTGACAAGATCAGCACTAAAAATCCAAATCACAGTCAATACCTTTTAGCAAGTTTCAAGAAAGCAGCAAAACTATTCTTGATTGCACCGTAAACCAAATGATATTTAATAGAATGGATAAAGGAAATGAAGGAAGGAGAAGATAAACATTTCAACCTGATAATTATGTTTTATAATTATTAGTTGAACTTGGCTTACAAATAGAATTTACTAGAGCATCTACTGGGAATTACAAGACATGAAAATAACTGAATTTTAATTTCTTCTGTATTTGTTTACTGATTTTTGTACATACAGTTTAAATTTTAACAAACTCCATTTTGCTTTATCCTCAGTGGATATTTCTACACTTACTAAAAAGTTATGTAAACAGAAGACTTTTAGAAGACAAGGGTTGTGTCTTAACAATTCTGTATCATATTTATAAAATAAAAGGTAATTGCTCTGTAACTTACTAGCTTGATTGATCCTGCACAAAGTCTTACATGTTTACTTATGCGCACTGTAAAAAGTTTTTAAAATTAAATGGGACACACCTCTTAAGTACATTAGCATGTATAGATGAGGATGACATTCTCTTTTTTAGAAAATAATCTCACAGCCCCAAGATTTATTGGTAATGTTAGAAAGTAGCAGCTTTTCTTCACCCCAAATACTTGTGTTCTTAAGGGTGAGAATTTTCTGTCTTGTTTGTTCAGAAGAATGGGCACAGCATTTCTTTCCAGTGCAAAATTAGCAACCATCTCAAAATGAGCTCCCAAATTAAGATCCTTACCTACAAGACTCAAGAGTTATCATTTACATCCCCCACTTCACCCTTTTATACAGTTATAGCATTCTCACACTAATGTTGTATTTCAACAAATATTAAATGGTTTTTATTTTACTCACCTGCACACTAAGATGAATCCATTTCTTCACAAGAATTCTCCCCAGTGTCATTACTTTTATTGGTGGCTGCAAACCATTTACTGTGCGATAATAAAACATGGTCTCTTTCTCAGAGATTGTGAGTTTGAACACAGTCTTCCCATCAACAGCCTTTTCTATCACACACCTTTGGAAATAACCAAGAAAAATAACATAAGGTCAGAGGCACACACATATACACATTCTTGCCAAGGTGCTATCCTGTAAAGTGATGCTAACCAGAATGCATTAAAATACACGTTAAAAATACAGCTCTTGAGAAGATGCTCAGTGAAAAGTCACAGGATGTACTATGTGTAAAAGAACTTTAACAAAGATATTTTCCATCTTAATTTATGAGTTATGTATATATATAGGAATATGTATTTTATATATATAGATACAGGAAGGCTCTGCAGAGAGATCTGGACAGGCTGGATCGATGAGCCGAGGCCCACTGTAAGAGTTTTAACAAGGCCAAATGCCAGGTCCTTCGCTTGGGTCACAACAGCCCCATGTAACGCTACAGGCCTGGGGAGGAGTGGCTGGAAAGCTGCCCAGCAGAAAAGGACCTGGGGGTGCTGGTCGACAGCCGGCTGAATATGAGCCAGCAGTGTGCCCAGGTGGCCACGCAGGCCAACAGCATCCTGGCTTGTGTCAGGAACAGTGGCGCCAGAGGCTGGTGAGGGGTCTAGAGAACAAGTCTTATGAAGAGAGGCTGAGGAAGCTGAGGCTCTTTAGCCTGGAGAAGAGGAGGCTGAGGGGGGACCTTATTGCTCTCTACAACTACCTGAAAGGAGGTTGTAGTGAGGCAGGTGTTGGTCTCTTCTCCTGGGTAACTAGCAATAGGACAAGAGGCAACGGCCTCAAGTTGCATCAGGGGAGGTTTAGATTAGATATTAGGAAAAACTTCAAATTTCTTTACTGAAAGAGTGGTCAGACATTGGAACAGGCTGCCCAAGGAGGTGGTTGAGTCACCATCCCTGGAGGTGTTTAAAAAACATGTAGATGTGGCACTTCAGGATATAGTTTAGTAGAAATGGTGGTGTTGGGTTGATGGTTGGACTTGATGATCTCAGAGGTCTTTTCCACCCTATGATTCTGTGATTCTATACATTTTTATTTAGTGTCCGCAACCCCAGTTCACTTGGGGGTGGAAGAGGGGTCCACTTTGCCCCATTCTTCAGGGTTCCATGACAGAAACCACAGCGGCTGGCCAGCACTGCGCAGGTCTGTGCTGCACACTTTGTACAAAGCTACGCAACATAGTACATCCTATGGAGGCACCATTTTTCTTAGTCTAACAAAGCAAATGTAATGTAACCACAAAAAGCAGTATGAATGACATGTTCTGGAAACAAGTCTTCCATGTTTCCACCAAATATGTCCAGGTAAGGTAGCAACAATACCAGCTTACCCTACACTCTCCCTTTGACACAGCCTTTCTTTGACCTAATAGCACCAGAGCAATGCAAGGAAGCTATCCAGCCACTTCTTAGGGTTTTTTCCCCACAAAGATTTCAAATCAATATCAACTGCAACACTGACATAAAAGGTACAAAGAATACCATCCACAGCAACCCACATAACATAATTAGTTGCTGAAATTTTTTTGCCAGCCCAATCATCGTGATGTCAAGGGTCCTGAGAAAGCATAGGCTATATGTGCTTGTGAAACAGCTATGTATTTTACTCAGGTAATCATTGGTACAACACAAATTATAAAGTTCTGCATTCCCATTTCAGGTGCTTGAGCAATCCAGTCCCCAATTTACTGACCAAAGAAAATCCAAATATTTTAACAGTTACACCAGAATAAATTAGTGCACTAAGTCACAAGAGAGAAGTGTATAAAATCTGTATGAGACCAAGATTTACTTAGACTTATTTCAGGAAAAAAAAAAGAAAAAACTTATCTACAATAAGTATCTTCACCTACTATGCATTTATAAATGAAAAGTATCAAAAAGACTTTTCTTCAGTACTGTCATTATTCACTAATTCACCTTTAAATCCAAGAGAAATATTGGCTGCAAATGGCTGTTTTCACTTTAATTTTAACTGTTACCATTTTAGCCTGCTGGAATGTTGTCAATAAAACAACTTGCAAAATGCAGTCTTCTGTTTTCCAAACCTTACTAAAACCACGTCTCTTAATATATTGTCGACTGGTCTTTTCAGCATTTTGTTTGCTTGTAAACACGCTAGTTTCGCTAGATAATAAATGTGAGGGAAGGCTCAGCTAAGTATCAAAATATTTAGGAACTGGATTTACCCAGTTCCTGGATAAACAATAATTGGATAATCCAGTTTTCGTTTATTTTAGTTATCTAAAACAAACATCCCCACATTGTTTTTATCCCCAAAGGTGTCATGACTTTAAGAAGGGAAGCGACCTTGATGTACATCACTTTGAAAACTGGAAAGAACAAATGTGAACTGTGACTCACTACTGAAAGAGTAAAATCAAGATGCAGAAAACTGGGGGGGGGGGGAAGAAAAAAATCCCAAACTAGGGCTAACATAGGTAAAATAGGCATAAGCATTACTTCTGACCCTGAGCACGATTTTTCATTCCAGCCATGATTACAGAGAAAAACCACTGTTCTTTCTGAAGTTTCCAACTTCTGGTAACCTGCAGTCCCACAGAGCCAATTCCTGACTACACAATTCTCTATGGTGAGGCTGAAGAGAGAAAAAGCAAACACCACAAATCTGCTTGGTCAGCTTTCAAAGAGAACAATATTCTAGAGAACCTAACATGGCTGCACTGGTGATCCCCACACATTAACTGGAACACTGGGAAATGGGAACATCTGCACGGGCTCAAAATCGGACGTACGTATCTTAAGGCAGCTCCCCCTTCCAGTCTAACTCCTAATGTAAAACATCTGAATGGATATAAAGTAACAGGATATGATTTTAGTCCTTCAGATAAATAGAGTTTAAAAAACACATCTAACGTGCACTTCACAATCAGATCATTCCCCCCAATAACCCTTCTGCATGTAAAAGGCCCCAGATGATTTCTTTCCCACCACCGTCTTCCGGTTGTCAAACTTCCAGTTGGCCCAGTTTACACTAAATTGATATAAACTGCCTGTAATAATTATTCATATATGCTAAACTTCTACTCGTAATCTTATTCTATTCCATTGCAAAGGGTTATCATCATATACAATTTCCTACATTGTGCTAAGGCTTACTTACAGGCTACGCACAGGCTTTTTGAAAGCATATTAGCTGATGAGTACGTGCAGTAAGAGAGGGGGGAAAGAATAAAATTCAGGTACAACAGGTCTGTTCACTTATTGCACCCACTTCCTAAAGGAAAAGTAAATTTAAAGATCGGAGTATAAATGTCAGTGTTTTCTCACTATTCTCGTGCTTTTCTTCAAGATTTCCAAGATGCAGTGTTTTAAAAGCATACCTGCAAATATCTACGTTATACATCTTCAAAGAATATTAGGGCTTCAAATAAATCCTTAACATGACCTGACTTTCCTCTCTTTTTGTATGAAAGTGTATTCTTTCCCAGATTCAAATAAGAAAACATGGTATATGAAATTGATGAAGAAAATTCCTGGTGTCTTTGATTATCCACACACATTTGCTCCCCCAGAACTTCACAATTTTTAAAGGGCCTTCAGACTTTGGATCCTCACATCCATATCTCTCACTTCAGCCAGCATAGTAACTTCTAGCAGAAAAATCCTGCTATTCTCTTACATGAGCACATGCCTAGCAGAGAAATGCCAGTCTTCACCAGGGTGCAACGGGATACTATACAGCAACACTCCTAGCTTCTTTCCTAAGCACTCTGTAGCAGCCAGATCATATAACATTCAGCACGAAGAAACACATTAGTATGGCATGTCCAAAAACCACGGGTCTGCTGTACTTGATGTAAGAGCACTTTGCCAGTAAACAAAATACCTTGTTAAACTTTCCATTATTCTACTGGTACAAAGAGGAGCTGGTTCTGGCTTATGTTCCTAGTGTTTTGGTGGCAGCACAAAGACTTTGTTAGAATGAGCTCCAGCTCCGAGAGACATCCTCCTGCTGTGATAATGGGATTTAAAAGGTCTCACAAACAGTATCTAACAGGGACAATTCTCCATCAGAGACTGCAAAATACAGGGCATCTGGCAAGTCAAACTCCTTTTGCCAACCTGAAGGACTCTCTAAACCAATACAATAAAAGGAAAAACATCTTAGTTTGCTGTTAAACTATTTTTCTTTTGTAGGATGCCTTCTGAGTTGAGCTTCATTGGTTATTCTGTGCAGTTACTGTTTCACCATAACTGGAGCTCTGTATTTCTTTTACAAAGAACAAAAAATTAACATACTTCTTTCTGTGAACAGTGAAAAAAGGAGTCTGGACAGTGGCATATCATCCTGACCACTGGAATAACTGTTGTCCAACTTCAATTTTCAGGACTGGGCTCTACCATTGTCATTTCTGCATGTTGAGTCGCAGCAATCTCACAAGGCAGCAGAAACGAATAAAAACATTAAGATTTTAAAGTGGTCTATAAAACCCACTGAACAGGAATATGTACATTGTGTAGTTATTAACACAGTAGCAATTGGAGGCTAATATGTTACACTAATCCATGGATAATCAGACATAGGTAAAGCCTGGTTTCTGCAAAGCGCTTCATCATTTGAAGCTAAGGACATACATTTCATTGTTTTAGGCTCCATGCAAGCAGAAGCCTCTCCCATTGACAAAAGAGTTTCATGGCTCTCACTCAACGCTTCACTGCAACAGCTTGCTTGGGAACTAGGAGGACATTTCTGCTTCAAGTTTGGCATATGCTCTGCTGAACAAGACTCTGCTAGGCCCGCAAGCGTGTGGACAGGAACTCCTGGCACAGGACAACCCCAGGAATGGACTCTCTGGCATTCAAGATTCAAACGCTATATAGAAAATGCTGTCTATAAAAGACACTAGGCCAAAGCTCCAGAGACACCCCTACACATGCCTTCAGCTGAGCTGATTCAACCTAAGCTCGAACTAAAGTCACTCTTGCTCTGCAGATCTCATTTATTTCCCCTCTGTAACCATGACTTCTACAACTTGGTTTGTTTTTTTGAAAGCAATTCTCCTTGCACAAAGCAGACTATAATTTTACCTATATCATTACAATTTTAGACATTTCTGTTGTTTCTGATGATTTTGACACTCCCAGACAACTTACTATTTCACAGCAGCGTGAAAATTAAGTATCAAGGATGCTACAACAGAGTAGACGATTATTTTCCTTCTAAGTACAAGTACAAAAACATTTGTGACATGCTCTAAAGGAATGTACTATACTTTTTGTGTGCTTCTCTTTAAAGAAGATCTGCACAGCCAGGGTAAGGGAGAATAGGAGGTTCTGCATTTTGTGACAGATTGAAGGGAACTTCTTTTGCAGGGTTTGCAATGCATTTTTCAAAAAGCAAGTTTTACGTTATAGTAAGGCTCAGGCAAGCTGAAGGGCTGCTTACAACAGCAATATTTGCTAAAAATGTGACATGTAGGCAAATAAGAGAGGGAGTATGCCTAGCCACGTCTATTTGGTGAACATCTGGTGAAACTCCACCAGCAGTTTGAATAGTGGAATCTCTTGTTAAAGTAGCAACACTGCCTCTCGTTCAGTCAACATTCCTTAGATTTCCAGAAAAACTATGACCACTCTTCCACAGCTCTGAAATACTCATTTTGGAGGATTTGAGGGTTCTCCTTGTTTGTTTTTAAGGGCTAAACTTGTGTCTGGGGATTCCTAAAATTTTAGATCTTTTTTTTCCGTCATGAAAGCAGCAACAGCACAAACCCCTGACAACATGCTTTTCTAGCAGCTTTTAGAAGGAATGTGAATTAGAAATACAAATTTAGATTTTTGAGAATAGACATGCACATTATGCATGAACACCTCCCACTGAAAGCAATTCGACTATCATCTGAGTCAACGACACTGAAACTGAACCTACTTGTCTTGACATTTACGAAGACCCCAACCTAAATACGGCTTTAAAACGTCATGGTTTCTCATTGTACCTTTTTAAAATTTTAAATAGCTTGCTAATAATGACCGTGACTACAATGATCAATTTTTTTAAGAGCACCAGGAAAGTAAACACCTTCAGTACTACTTACATTACACCTTCTTGCTCAGGTTTCAACCATACAGTTAACGTAAACGAGGCTGTGAGCCTCGGAGAACGCAGAGTAGAGAAGCAATCTTTGTGATTACGAAAAATAAAGCTGGAAGCGTTGCTGAAGGACCCTGGATGCAAGTCCCTTTTGTCCTCCGTGACACAGGTACCAAGGCCTTCTGAAAGAAGCAGTTTGTAGGAAGAAGGCGATGACCTGTATGGACATTCCTGAACACAAAACCTCTGGGTGCAGGACGTAATGCTTTCAACAGCTACTGAGCTATGACAAAAAGTACTTCGGTCTGGCAGCCCACAAGTGGCATGAGTTGGCACGATTGACACATCCTTGAAAGCTCCCACATTTTCAAGCCTAGGGAAATGTCCCTGAGAGCTGACCAACACAAAGGAGTCACAGTAAGTTAAGAGTAATGTTTCAATAGCATGAAACAAGAAACGACACCTCAAGGAAAGAGCCCAGCAATTCATGTTTACAAAAAAGCTCTTCCTGATTAAAGCATCCATAAATAAATAATGATGTCCATGTCGGTAGCAATGTCCTCAGGTGGTAAGCTTTAAGAGTTTATGTAGCATTTCATCTTCAAAACACCCATGCGAGGACTCAGTCGCAGGGGACATCCACGTCTTCCGGCCAGCGAAACACACCTGGGTGACAGATGGTATCTGCAAACCACAGAAAACAGACACAGTCCGTGGAAGGAACATGCCCTTTCGTACCAGCAGAGGCAATGCCCCGCTGGGGAATTTAAGGGTTCGAATTCTCCTTCCAAATTTCCACCTGCACCTTCACTGGCTATGGCCAAGGCGTCTCTCTGAGTAAGTACAATGGCACTAGGCCGACTCAAGCCTGCACACGCTCGCAGCTGAGGGGGGTTCATCCCAGCTCAGTCGCGTCATGCGAGGCTGATGCTCAGCGTTGTGCGTTAAGGGAACGGGTACAGAACAAGGGGGCAAACCGGGGCATGCGACCTCAGCGCCCCAACACCGTTCCAGAGAGCTTCAAGCCAGTTGGTTGAAGCTCACACATTTGCAATCGCCTGGCGCTTTGCTCGGCTTCGCGTCGCTGCCCAGGACCCCCTCGGCGCCATCCCCACCGCACTGTTTCAGGGCACGCTGAGGGACACCCCCCTGCCTCCGCTCCCCAGGCGGGCGGGGTGCCCGCCTGAC